GCTGCTGGATGAAATGAAGTAGAAAATTTCCCACAGCCATTCTCCAGGCTGTGCAAATGGTCAAATGCAGCTTTCAGCTTTGAAATGCATTTTGCTAGAGATGAGCACTCTCTGTCCTGTTTGTTTGTTATCGTCTGTCCATACTCTTCCTCCCTACTCCACTAACCTAGAACACAATGATCAGTCACTGGTATCACAGGAGATCCAATAACTTGCATAAACCTCAAGGCAATATGCAGCATCTCTTTGAGAACCAAGATGATCAGGAGCAGCAGAGGCAGCACAGAGTGCAGGGTAAGAGCAATCATAACAAGCTAACAAGTCTGTTATGGGGCAACCAGGAACCAGAAACTATTAAGCAGAATATGTCAGGAAAAGTTAGGGCAAGAAAATGTCCAAAAATAGAGCTGAGAAGTGTTTCTTCAACAAATAAATGTGTGTCAAAACTAGACATGTCTACTATGAGTCAAAATGGAGATTCTAAAAGATGGCTTTTCTGGCAAGAAAGCAAGCCAGACCAGGAGGAAAGCAAAAAGCCACAAGGTGGATGAAATGGCAAAGAACCATGGCCATAATAGTAGGGATAATGTGACCATGATAAGACCATAGCACATTCCTGAGAAGTATATGGAGAGAATGAACACTGGTGTTGGCATAAAGTCACTTGCAGTTTTCCCAAACTTATTTTTCATTCCACCACAATGTAATGCATTCATATAGGATAGAAACCAATCTTTTGAAGCTTTCTCCTCTCCTCTTAACCTGAAAATGGGAGAGAAAAGATATTTTGCCCTGCAGCACCCTTAGATTTTTTCTTTCTCCTCACCAAAATCCTAGGTCTTCGCTAGTCTTGGGAAATGTCCCTTGTCTTTTCATTCTCAATGAATACCAAACACAGCTTGCAGCAAATAAATGTTCTTAAGGTATCAATGACTAAATCCTTCTTCTGTTAAACCTAACCATGCTTCTGAAATACTGCAAGAAGAGAAACCCACTTCCAGTAGCTATCTGCTGATTTTTCTCCAACAGGAGATGTTGTCTTCTCTCCCTTTCCTGTAATGGATGCTTGTGTCATCCTACAAACAGAGCTTCTATATTGCAGTTATTGGGAGAGTGGATGGTTCAGCCAGTGAAGTTAAACTATTGGGGAGAGGAAAAAGGGACTCATCAGCTTTTCTCTCTCTGTCTCAGGCTGTCCAAGACAGTCTGGAAACCCTTTTGTGAAGACTATCCCTCAGTTGTCACCCCACTATGTGCTTCACTCTGTGCCTGTTTAAGGGCCAGTCAAGCCCATCAAACTGTTGTATTTTTCAAGCTTCTGACTCTAGATTCTCCATGCCTTACATGAGGTTGCAAAAGTCTTATGTAGTTGCACAGATTGAGAAAAAATAAAAGAAGGCTGAAATGGCTTGTATAAAAGTCGTATGGACATGGCACTTCTACATATACTACTTTGTTAGCATACGAATAGCAGGAGAGCTTCTAGTAACCACAATTAAAAAAAGGAGGTAAAAAAGCCTGAGACAGACAGTTGATCTGTTTTCTGCAGGGCTAACCTTGAGGAATAAAAAGAAGCATAAAGACCAATAACCTTTCACATTAAGGCCAAGTGGCTTTAAAGTGGTGCCTGGATAATCTTTTCTTACATCCCCTGCCTGATTTTCAGCTGATTCATAACATTACAAACACGAGTCTGAATCACTCATTTGTCTCCCCAACATACATAGTGGTAATATGAAAAAATGCAGTGTAGTAGTTTCTTTATCCAGGCATAATTTTTCTTTTTTGCTGAAGTATTCAGTATTTTCTTAAATATATTCTTCCACTTTCTAAAGAAGAACTATTTACAAATTACATCTCCTTAGGTAGAATATCAGTAACAATAATTCCACATGGCAATCCTGACACATCAAAAAAAGCAGTGCTCTGTGTTGCCCCTGGCAGAATTTTGACCATCCACTAATTGTATTGTAAACAGCTGAACAATGCAGAAAAAAATGACTTATGTCTAAGTTAACTTTGCACAAAGTTGCTAACGGTGGCACCGTGACTGTAAAATGGTAACACAGCACACACAGCTCTGTATTTAATTAAAGGACAGAAATATCTACTTCTAAAATGTTTTCATAATACATGAAGGCAGGCAGGATAGGTGAGATCTGAGTTGTCTCCTATGTCCCTGTGCCAGAGGCAGTGAGCTAACACAACTGTTTATTGTGCGCTTAACTGGGGGAGGCTGAAGGAAGGGTAGCTGGAGGAGTTTGGTGAACCTGCTGTAGCTGAAGATGGATGTTACTTTTGCAGTCTATTCTCACACTTCTTGTTTAGGTGACCAGCTTGGATGGTCTCTGTCAGCATTTTTACTGGTTTACATGAAATAAATAACGTCAATATGAAATACCATAAAGGAGGCTGCGTAAAGTGCTGAGGAGGAAGAAAGGAAGAGGAAGAAAAGAGTCAAGGGGAAAAACTGGAGAAAGGGAGTTAGGATCACTCATATTCTGTCTCTCTAAACAGCAGTCTATCATGAAGAGATACAGGTCTTTTTGCTTGTGATTATGGGAGAACACTAGTTAATTTACTATTTACAAGTCAAGCTTTAATTAAGGCTAGGATCAATTGGCTTTGTGTATGTTGCTGAGATGAGTCTGGATAATGTGCGTCCAACCTAGATATTTGTCTGTCTCCCAAGCAAGATCAGCCACAGTTTTATGATAAAATAGTAGAGTCTTGGATCTTAGTCTTGCATCTACCAGTTTTGCCATTTGCCTCAATTCAGGACATACCAACTAGCATTCCAGTAGTACAACTCAGGCTATCTCCTCCACATCATGCTGCAGCAAAGACAATAGAGTAGTAGCCAAGATGAGATCAGCCAAGAAAATGAAATTGTGCTTTACTCGTAGAATCAGAAAGATTATTATGGAATATATTGGTTTTACTCTAAGTAAGTCAACACTAGAAGGAACATCTGCATCATCCCCAACGCCTGATCCCCTCATAGCAAAACCACCAGTGTTGGCTTGTTTGATTCTTAAAAAAGCAAAACTGAAAAGACCATCTTTGTAATCATCAATTGAGCCAGTTGGTAGAATAAAAATGCAAAGAATGAGATGTCTTACCATTGCCTGTAATCTAAACCTAAAGACACTAAGCCCACAGAGATACATTAAACTCAAAGAGCCCATCAGGAAAGCAGATGGTAAAATAAACAATAATGCAGAAAAAAAAGCACTAAGATTCTTGCTGGCACTTAATAGTAACATGGGTAGGACAAATCTCACCAGGGTAGGGAACGTTAACAGCCTGTTTGTGACAAAATGAAATAAAATTATTTGAATTGACGCTTATGCTCTCATAAATCTGACCGACACATCTATTGCTGTTTTGCCTTGGGACTTCAGCCTTAGCCTGGGATCCTGAAAGTTGCTTTCATGAGGAGCAGGCATATGATGGAGCCCAGCATCCCTGACACAATTCAGTTTTCTATAGAGAGTCCTATTTACTGGCAGACAGGAGGAGTCACCCAACAGCACAGTCTTTGTTCATAGCTCCCAGTCTATTTCTGCCAACGCTCTGCCCCAAAGGTCTGTCTCCAGGGGCTCTCGCTGGGAGTTTGCAGTGCTGAGGCTGTCCAGGATTTCACTGCTGCACCTTTCTTAGCTTTTTTAAGGGCTAGTTTTCTTTCTTTCTCTTCTAATTACAGTTCCATGAATCAAAGCTTTAGCCTTTCTGCTTTCTATGTCAAATCCTAGGAAAATCTTCTGGGTTACATTCAGCTAGATAAATCCCATGTTTCAAGTACTGTCTGTTGTTATGTCAGCTACTGTGTCTTTGAAAAGTAACTGAATAACTATTTCCATGTATTCAGAAATATGGTTGCTATATTGACCCATACATCTATGCACGTGTACCTTTTCTAATGAAATATGAGTGCATGTTAGAGAAAATGCTGTTTTCAGCAGGAGACTCTCCGATTTAAGGTTATGGTTGCTCAGGTCTCCATTTGAACACTCAGCTGGCAGTTTTCAGCAGGTATCTTGCCTCCTGTGGTTTAGATGCACTTTCCTGGGAGTTGGCTATATTGCAGAGTGAGAACCAGCTCTGTCCCTGGAGTACTGTAAAAGTAACAGGCATAAAGGGAAAAGAGGCTACTCTTTACTTCTTCCCTGATATATTTCAGTGAAGCAGTGCTTACTCCATGTGCTTACCACTACGTGGAGTGCCAGAAGACTTGCTGTGGCTGGTGAGGAGAGGGAGAAAAGCCTAATTGCAGTGTCTGTATTTTGTATATCTCACCAACTAAAGAATTTATTGGTTTTTGTTTTGTTTTGTTTTGTTTTGTTTTTTTCTAGTTTTACATAGCCCTTTAGAAAAATCCATCAATTACAATAGAAAATCCTGCTCCAGACAGCTATCCAGAAAGGTGATATCAGACCAAAATTAAACTCTGCTCCTTTGTATCTTGCCCTAAAAACTTCTTGCTGCCACAAAGGTAATTTCAAAAATAGGGTCCACCAGCTGAGCTGATCCAAGGTGGCAGAAACACCAATACCTCTTCAACCTCTGACATTTGTCTAAATAACTCTAGTGTCCTTTACTAGTTTTGCAGTGACCTCTAGGGGCCTGATCCAAGACCACTGGCTTCATTATCCCTTAGTGACTTACCCCAGACTTTCAGAAAGTTTTCTAAGCCTGGAAGAATGAGTATTTAATGTACAGATGAAAAAATAGTGTGTCCGATGAAAAACAGAATAGCCTAAAGACTTCCATCTCAATGCTGCTGATGTCTGCATGGTTAAAAATTAACTACCTGGGGCTATATGAACCCCTGGTGTTAGCCTGAACAATGCATTGACATCCATTTACCTGAAATCTAAATTTGGTTTATTGCATTTCATAACCACATGGAAGATGACAACATCTCTTTAATGCTGAATCAGAGCAAAAAGTTTCCACTTTTTATGCATATCAGCACAACAGAAACCACTTCCACTTACCCAGGAGTACTGTAGATCCATATCAGTTAGGGAATATGTAAGATGTGGCTGATGAGAAGAGCAAGTACAGTTTTCCCATTCTTCTATTTTTGAAATCAAGAAGTCACAAGGACAGAGGTGGTTATCAGGAAATGGCTTCCAGTCACTCCACAAGTGAAATTCGGTTTCCGAATGGATTGAAATAGTTCCTAAGTTATTAAGTTTGGAAGTGTATGAGCGGCCCAGAGATGCAGAAATAAAATCTGCCCTAGTCTCAGTCTCTTTTCTTCTCACACTGTCTTTCCAGGTCTTCTTTTCCTGAGGTTTTGTCAGTTTCATGCAAGAAGTTATTGCTTCTTCATCCTCTTCAGAGACATAAGCATCTTCTAATGTATCTTTAAAAATGCAAATACTTCTGTTATACCGTGTTGCAATTCATAGAGAAAATAGCACACTTTTTTTCTTATATGCTGTCTGTTGCATTCTATATAACGGAAAAAACAAGGACTCCATAAAAACAAACAAACAAACAAAAAAAAACAAACCCAAAACAAATAATAATAATTAGGGAGATGGAAAGGATTTTATACTGGGCCAGACATCTGAGCCAAAAGCAAGATTTATTCTCAATTTCATAAATTTGTCTTGTTTCCTCAAAAGCCTGGAAAATTGTACTGGTTCTGCACTGAACATGAAAATTTGCTAAGTGAATGTCGTATTGCTGCATAGTTGCAGAGAGCATGAATTTAGCTTAAATATTGGAAAAGTTCAGAAAGTTTTTCTGGATAATTGCTCTCCCACCCCTTCCCAGTATGTATGTTGTAGTTACATAGTGCTGAAATCTAAATTTACTCATGTGTCTCAGCCCAAGCAAAGATTTGGCTGGAGCAGTAGTTCATCAGATAGTTTAAACACATTTTGCTAGTATTGGTTTAAAAATAATCATACACACAAACATATTGTACAACAAATGCATACACTGTTAAATTAATGTTGGCAAAACAAGTTCAGATGAACTGCTGCACAGTCAAATCAGTGATCTATAGGAGACTCCAGAAAGTAACCTGTGTTCAGCATCAATTTAGAATTCCTGTGTCTTATGTCTCTAGGCAACCAGGTATGATGAGAGGCCGACTTATTTATCATACCACAGACCTTCTTGCGCTCCCAGCTGCTACCAACTCATGGATTAACACTGAAAGTTATTTTAGCATTTGTGAGTTTTGCCTTTCTGACCTGAAACGTGATACAAAACTAGGAACTACTCTAAAAACAAATTTTCTCCAGCACAGAGGCCACACTGTTATACAATTCTATTTAGCTAAAATCCCCACTTGCAAGATATACTGTTACAAAACTCAAGCTAGTGTGACAGGAAACAGGTTTTCACACTATGAGGAAGTCAGCACTAAAGTGGTATCACAGTAACATCTCAGTTGGGGTTTGAAGATTGTGGGTGGTGAATGACAGACCAGGACAGGATTGTTTACAGTTATGTTCAATACAGTGTCATTTGCCAAATGTTGGAAAGAATGCTGATATAATGCTTTACTTACTGAGGGGGAGCAAAACATGTTTGACATCCTCCAAGCTTTGTGTACTTGTTTTTTTGGTTCGGACCAATTTCTGTAATCGTTTTAGTGTTCCCATGGACTCTACTTTATCATCTGGTTCTGTACCCTGGCAAAAAATCAAAGATGTTGAAAGTGTCCAAACTCTACAAATAAAACCTAAGACTAACATGGTACTTATTTTGAGAATGACAGTCTCAGATTCTAAGAATTAATCATCCACACAATACTTTAAAAGTTAGGTACGACCAATAGACATGAAAAAGGAAAAAAGCAAGTCACAAGAGGCATTAAACTTAGATCAGTGTTCATATTCCTGCTTACATATTACTCTTCCTTAATACCCCAGTATTACTTAATACTTAATTACAGATTAGTTCTAGAAAACATTTTAATATATCATCCACTACATTATCCAGAAGCATTTTGGGTATACCCAGAAATCCCAGATGTGGCAAGCTACTGCATTTAAATGTGTTTGGGAATGTGTTCTGAAATACTGATGTCTTCCTTTATTCGAGGCCTTATTTCCTTTCCTAGATTAAATGTCAATAACATAATGACAATTCAAATACATTAACGTACATTCCAACAATGTCCTACTGGAGGAACTCAAGGTTTGGTTATTACAGGCTCCTAGAGCAGGAACTTTGTGAATGTGCAGCCATCTCACACACCTTCACTTATGTTAAACCAGCTGCTATCTTTCAAATCAGTCTAGAAAAACTTGAGTTCTCTTCCAATCTGACTCTGAACTTTGTCTCTTTCAGAGAGAAATTTCATACTCAGACAACAAATAATCTCTCTTCCATAGTCATATGCTGTGTTTCACATAGGCTATCTGCTGTTCACTAGAAACCAAAAAAAAAAAGTAAATATATTAGAAATGGGTAAAACCATAATTCTCTGATGGCTACATTTTGGGAGAGTACTGTCTGGATTCTATAGATGTTCATCTACTTACACTGATAATGAATTTGGCCTTTTGTGGCAATGCATCTTTGGCAATATTGCAAGTGATTGAGTGCTAGTGTTGATATTATCAGAAGGTAGAAATGCAAAGAACTTTATTGCACTCTCCCCAGAAATTAGGTCACACATCATAGACCCTTTCTGCCTCCTTCTATTCAAAATCCTTTGAGACAAAGTCATCACAGAGTTTGCCAGCAGTCTAATGTGTAGTGAGCAGGCTGCTTAGGGATGGGTCTCAAGAGATTCTGAGCTCCTCCTTTCATTTGGGTTAAAGACTTTTTTCAAAGTCTTAGCATGAAGCAATCTGAAGCCCCAGCATTCACATATTACAAGTTACATCCATTCCCTGTAGCAATAGTAAGGCAGAGGGTGTATGTTAATTTCAGATTTAAAACAGGACCACTGTTCACTTAACAGAAACTGCTTATAAAGATGGCTGTGATTCAAGTGCCAAAGTTTCAGATAATTTCCTATGAAGACATGAGGTTCTGTAAGCAGAAATAGAAGTCCAAGACTTCTATGCCCAGCAAAGGACATTTTATGTGTATTTAGTTAGTTTTGTGTCACTAGACAATTTGTTGAAATTTTAACAGTCATCTATCTGGGCACGTGCAAAGCCTTTGACACTGTCCCACATGACACCTCTAAATTGGAGAGACATGGATTTGAGGGATGAACCACTCAATGGGTAAGGAATTGGCTGGACGGTCGCACTCAAAGAGTTATGGCCAACAGCTCAATATCCAAGTGGAGAGCAGTGACAAGTGGCGTTCCTCAGGGGTCAATGTTGGGACTGCAGTGTTCAACATCTTGTTGGTGACATGGACAGTGAGATTGAGCGCACCCTCAGCAAGTTTGCCAATGACACAAAGCTGTGTGGTGCAGTCGACACAGTGGAGGGAAGGGTTTAAAATTATAATATTGCTCTAATGTAAGATCTCTTGTAGTAATAATCATTTGTTCACTTATAAGTAATGATACAAAAGCAACATGATGATTCTGAATTATGATTTGGAATTTCCATCATGGAGACATCAAGATAAATGAAAGACAATCTATTCAGATAATTTTATTAATGGCAAACTCTAATCCTCTTTAGTTTAAAAGTACTCATTTGGTAGAGTCTACTGTTAGTGAAATGTCATAAGTGATTAAATAATAAATACAGTAACCCCCTTTTATGGAGAAAAAATCTCATGCAGTATCAGTTAGTGATGGGACAGGTTTTAAATTTACAGTGTATTATTTTGGTTTACCTAAGCATTCAAATCCAGAAGTTTAGCTGCTTATCAAAACAGAAGTAAAACATTCTTTGATGTAGAAACCAGACAGACTGTCAGGTGAACTGACCATCCCGGTCTCACAGTTTTGATATATTGTCCTAGCAACCCTCAACCACAGCTTAGTGAAAGCATACATAAAAGTGAGAAAAACCCATTACATGTTATGCTTTGGTTTCAGGCAATTTTCCTCTTGCTGTTTGTGTTATCTGGAATCTGGTATCTCTAGTTGCCTCTGTCCAGGATATGAGAGAAGAAAGTGCAGCGACAGAATGTGCAGTGCTACTGGTCAGACCAGTAACATACACTAATTTGGAATATGACACTTTCCAGTACCTTCCTTGTCTGTGGAAGGGAAAGGATGTTCCTAAAAGGAACTATGGAGGAGTATTGAAGACCAGTGCACAGAGCAGTAAGTGTCCACTCATAAAAAACTGTTCATTTAAAACACATTTAAAGACTTTTAAATTCCCCCCCGCTTCTATGTTCTAGGGTCATTTGCTCACTTGAACATTATAGCTGTGTTTGTGTTTTGCCCAATCTACAAGCAAAGATATTTGTAAGGAAAAATTTCCCTCATGAACAAGAATATTCTTTATTTTCCTGATTAACAGGTTTTAGTCATGAAAAATCATCTCATACCACAAACAAAAATGAGTTGTGTAAAAAATAAATTGCAGCCTGCCCTTTAGCTGCAAGTAATTTGCATGAAACGTGCATGACTACTTATGAGCAAAAGTATACATTTTAAAAATGCACTTATAAAAATGTGTTAAAGAAAAAAAGACCTAAATTGTGTCTGATAAACTGTTTCCAGTTTATCCTAAGATATTCTAAATACCTTAGAAATCTTTAATCACTAAGATGTTATGAGGATTAACCTGGTGACAGAAATATAGCAATTTGGAAGCTAAGTGTAAAACACTGTTGGTCAGATTCCAGCAATCTCACTCCTGTTGAGCACTCTCTTTCCTGTGTGTAACTGCATTAATTTCAATAAAAGCACTTGCACAGCATGTCACTTCTCAGCATAAAGAATTTAGTCCTCACAGAGGATAATCTCTGTGATTTTTCCTCAACTGGTTTGCCTTTCCCAAAGAACTGCAATGATTTAATCAAGATTACCTATGGATTTATATTTAGAGTACAATGTAATAGTGAGAAGACAAAAATTATGGTATGTTTACTTTGTCAATGGTGCTATCATCATTGTATCATAGAAGTTTTTTTGAAAGTTTCAGTAATACCCTCACTGCACATAGTAAATATTAAAATAGTACCTGATGACAGAGAACTTTCTGCTCTACTTATACAGAGTTAGCTCTGTAAAATGCACTGAATTTGGATATATTTTATTTTTAAAAATGTCAGTAAAGCCACAGTCAATCAATATATAGACAAGCACTGTATAAACTTCTTTCATGTGCTCCTGCCCATACATATCTGACTTTTAAATACTCCCATTAATATAGTCTGATACTCCAGCTACTCAAAAATGACTGCAGAGTCAAACTAAGCAGGCTAGGATTATAGGCAGATTTTCTCCTGGAAATCACAGAGCAATACTAAGATATTCTATAAAAGATAAAAAAATATCATGATTGATAGTGGAGAAATAATAAGGTATTTTATAAACTATAAATAGATATCATGGTTAATAGCATGAATACGGATTAAGATCTTTCAACTTTTGGGGAAGCAACACACAGTAAAAGAAATCCTACTAAAACAGAATGTTCTTCCAGGCTGCTAGCTGCTGATGAAAAAAAAATAACAATTTTCATGGCAACTCACCATTTCGCTGTTACCAGCCACATTTGGATTGTGAACTCGTGGTGGAATCCACTGCTCATAGTCTGTCACCTAGATGGTAAGAAAAATAAAATAAAAAAATAATCCAAATAAATAAGATGTATAAACATAATTACTATCATGTCACTGAATACAGATTGAGAGCTCAGCAGTCTTCCAAGAGAGTACTATGTGCATATAAAATTAATGGTCAACATACACCAGCTGACACCCATTGAAATCAGTTTGATTTTGATCTGTCTTAATTTCCATAGTTATCTGGGACTCAGTAACGTCTTGGAGATATCACAGGGTATGTGATACAGTCACAGAGCCATGCATTATATCATGAGATGCTTGGGTCTCATCCTATATCTTGGCTCTCTTTTCTCAATGAACAGGAAAGCCACAGAATACCCCTCAGCAGCAACCCCTCAGCTGAGGAGCAAGTGTCACTGATGCATTTCTAAAGAGGTCCTTGTTCAGTTCGCCTCATTTTGCTGGGGATATTGAGCCCCAAGAGTGTGAGTTTGAATTGGATTAACAAAGCAAAGACAAGACTTTCATCATCTGCTCGTAATCCATTTCTTGGTCACAATGTCCTCGTGATAGGAACACCATGAGAATACACTTTCCCTGGGGCACTGATGCAGTCCCCAGTGGGCAAGTCTGACAGTGCTTATAGCTTATAATGAACACTAGTCTTCTTTGTTCATGAATATGAATGACATTTTGAAGGCTGAATGCAACCTAAGAATTTACGTGAGAAATGAGGCATGAAACATTTTGGAAAATGTATTAGCCCAAAGACTGTATTACTTCATATTTTATGTCCTTCCCAATATGCTACAAAGGGTTTGAGCCATCAAGGGAGCCCTGTTAGACATGAACAAACAAGAACAAAGATATGAAAAATAAATGCAGAAAGTAAAGCTATTTTTCATGGTAAGGTACAATTATTACAGCGTTGCTCATGCTGTTCCTCTCAACCTGTACTTCTGCTCCAAGCCCCTGTTTTCCAGCATTTACAGAATGAATAGAATTAAATGAGCATCTATTTAGGAAATGGAGAGGGACTGAAGTTTTTATGAAGCACTCAGGGAAGCTTATTTGCTTTCTTTTTTTTTTTTTCTTTTTTTTTCTTTTTCTTATTTCTTTTTCTTTTTTTTTTTTTTTTTTTTAATTTTTTAGAGCGAGAGGGAAAAAAAAGCTAAAATGTTCATCTATTCTATTTAATATTGCTTGTAAATTTGTTTCTTCCTTGTCTCACAGAATCACAGGCTCACATAGACCAGCTGAGGCAAGAATGCATATCTGGGGATTGTGCCTGCTCAGAGCAGGTCACTGGAGCAAGTTGCCTAGGTCCATGTCCTGACAGATTTTGAGTATCTCCAAAGATGGACTTTATACAGCCTCTCTTGGAAGCCTTTTCCAGTGTTTGACCCCCCCTCACAGTAGAAAAGTTCTTTCTTTATGCTAAATAAATTTCCTGTATTTCAGTTTGTGCCTGTTGCCTCTCATTGTCCTGTCACTGGACACCCCTGAGAAGAGCCTGGCTCCCTCTTCTTTAGTCCCCCATCTGTACACATGGATCAGATCCCCTGACCCCTCTCTGCTTCAGGCTGGACAGTCCCAGCTCTCTCAGCCTCTCCTCATATGACACATGCTCCAATCCCTTAATCATCTTCATGGCCTTACATTGGATTTATTCCAGTATTTTCCCTGTTTGTCTTGTACTGGAGACACAATAACTGGGCCCAGCACCCATATCTAGCGGGTCAGCTCACCACTGCTGAGCAGAGGGGAAGGATCACCTCCCTCGATCTGCTGGTAGCGCCCTGCCTAATGCAGCCTAAGAGGCTGTTGGCCGCCTTTGTTCCAAGGGCACATCGCTGGCTAATGGTCAACTTGGTGTTCACCACGACCCCCAGGACCTTTTCTGCAAAGCTGCTTTCCAGCAAATTTGTCCCTAGCCTGTATTGGCAGAGGGGGTTATTCCTCCCCAGGTTCAGGACTTTGCACTTCTCTTTATTGAGTTTCATGAGGTTCCTGTTTGCCCATTTCTCCAGTCTGTTGAAGGCCTTCTGATGGGCAAGCACAACTTTCTGGTACATCAGGCACTTGTTCCAGTTTTGCACTGACTGCAAATTTGCTGAAGGGGCACTCTGTCCCATTGTTCGGGTGATTAGTGAAGATCATAAACAGTAATGGACCCAGGATCGACCCCTGGGGTAGATCACTAGGGGCTGGTTTCCAGTGGGACTTTGAGCCATTAATCATATTACTTTGAGCCAGTGGTTCAACCTGTTTTCAATCCATCTCACTGTCTGCTTTTCTAGTCCCTATTTCATTAGTTTGCCCATGAAGATGTAATGGGGGACAGTGTGGAAAGCCTCAGTAAAGTCAAGATAAACAACATTCACTGCTCTCCTCTCTTCCACCAAACTAGTCATTTCATTGCAGAAGGCCCTCGGGCTGGTAACGCATGAATTCCATTTCATAAATTCATGCTGACTATCCCCTGTCACCTTCTTGTCTTTCATATGTTTGGGAACAGTTTCCAGGAGGATTTGCTCCATCACATTCCTCGGGACTGAGGTAAGACTGACTGGTTTATAGTTCCCCGTATCTTTTTTCTGGCCGTCTTGAAGATAAGAGTTACATCCGTGGCAGCTTACACTCCAGTTGTGTGAGCTATCCCATCACATTTCTGTGGTCTTAATGAGACTGCAGCATTGCAACTGCATGCAGACCTCTAATTCCTCCTCTTCGTTCCCCATGCTGTGTGTATCAGCATACAGGCACTTCATAAGAACACTAATTTGCAATGATTTTGCAGAAAAACTGTGAGAGCTTTTCCCATAATGCTGTTCTCCCAACACGTCCTTATTTGTGTGCATAATGCAGTACAGTAAATGAAAACAGACATAATCAGACATATGCAACATATACTAACTGGCTCCTTAAGTAATATATTATCAGGGCAAACACTGGACTGGAGGTGAAATAAAAAGCAAATGTTAGTCATTCTAATTCCAAAGCCACAAGTCTTTCTCCTCACCTCTTTCTGCTCACCAGCTGTTGGGTTGTTTCCTACTTTTACGTTATTATTAGTATGCAAACCCAAGGATCAGAATTCTTTAACTGCTCATGTTAGTGGGATAACTAATGTAGTATTATGAAAAGCAGATATGGTACAGGTTTATAGAAATTCAGAAAGTGTTAGGATATATATGTCACTATGGAGCATGCAAGACTGAGAGAAACACTTAGTAGAGATCTTGCCAGGTACAATTCCAGTGTATCAACTTAATAGAAATGTATTCACTTAGGGAAAGAAAAAGTTTTCTAAGTATTAAAACCCACACGGTTTTCATAATGAAATTGGTACATAACTTAGGTAGTCACCAGAGTCTTCTTTTAAAGTCAGCTTCTAAATTACACAAGCATATGGAGTATGAAGTTTAGGCTAGGCCAATATGGAAGTTTAGGCTAGGCCAATAGGAGTGGAAGCAAGAAATATGCCTTTTATTTGAATGAAATTTTAGATTCTGAAAAAAAGAGTATTTCTTTCACCTGGCATGTTGTTTCTTCTATCTTCTTTCCTTGGAGAAAATGTATCCCACCACCAATATTATCTTCTGTGAATTATGACCAAAAAAGAGAGAAAACATTATTTAAAATGTCCTGGTTTTTTTTTAAGGAGTATAATTTCAATTGCACTTGATGTTTTGAGCTGACATTTTGACTCTCTGAAGTTAACCTTACATCATTTAAGCATGCATTTTATCTCAAACTGCTTTGACGTAAAACTACAAAACAAACTGGCAAACTGACTCACAGAAAGAAAACTCATTCATGCTTACTTCTTCATCTGTATTTAGTCCTGTTTACTAACCCACAACCCCACAAAGAAATTCCTCTTGCCCTGCTAATTTACAGCAGAAAAGTGTAGAATCTTAATATATAAAATGAAGGACAAAAATGATCTTTGCAATTGAGATCTGTTTAACATAGCTTAGATTAGAATTTGCTTTCAAAAAATGAGCGCACTCCTATTTCTTCCAAGAAATTAATGCTTTGCATGGGAAGAGTATTTACCTTCATTACAACAATGACCAATAATAGGTCAAACAACTCTTTGAAAAGTTTATTTTTAGTAAGCCTACTTTGAGAGATATACTCTTACTCCCACTTAAGACAAAGCATCCACCATTATACTACTGTAGAAAGGCCCTAGCAGTTAGATTCCATCGACACAGATATCAGAGGCACTCAGTTATTTTGAAGGAAAAAACAGGAAAAATTAGCTGCTAATCACAGCACAAAGTGCTATCCTATTTTCCCAAAGTTACTTGAAACCAGCAGGAATGTGTCGTTTTTTTTTTTTTTTTTTTCTCATGAATCCTAACTTGGCATCCTTGTTGCTGCTGAGGAATATCTTACAACATGAGTAATTCTGCTGTTTGCAGGAGGACAGCTAACTTAATACACATATTCACAAAGGCTAATTGTAGGCAGGTGAGACTGATTGCATTGGTTTTTCTACAATCAACAGAAAGATTAATTCAATGAATAATTCCAAGTGACTGAGATTCTTTAGTTATCACATGAAAAAAAGTGTTTGAATATGATCATGAAAATTTATATTCAAAGAGGTAAGTAAGATCCTAGTCCTCAAAATGCCTATGCTGGAATTCAATGAGACTAAAATGTGTATAAAGCTAGACAAAAAAAAGCCCTTAAACTTATACAAGTGAAACAATAAAAAGGCCATTGTACAGATAACTTAGCAGATATATCTTCACATGTTAGTATTAAAGCAAATTCTGAATCAAGAGACATTATTAGCATTGTAACACTATAGCAAATAATATCCTCATGGTTTTGCAACTTGGATGTTGTAAAACTGGATAAAAACTCACAAATTACAATCTGGACATAGGACAAAAAAAAGCAACAGTCTTTTCACATCCTAGTTCCACCTCAAAACCATAAGTCAGTTGTATAGAAAACCCCATCAAACAATTTCCTTCATTTGCGATGTGCATCAACAGGAAGACGAAAAATGAGTCACAGAAAATGTTATTGCACAAGTTTGCCTCTAGAGGCTTCTGTAAGAGCTTCTGTCATAGTAGGACAGTGTCTTTCTCCTACAGACCTTATGGTTACAATGAAACTAAAAGCTTTTCCAAAAAACATGTTATATTCCAAAATGTAATGTGACTGAACAGATTTTAAGTTGTCTCAAGAGCCTATAAATCTCCTCGAAGTCACTGAGGGCCAAGTGTCTGACAATATAGTTTATTTAAATACAGAGATAGCTGTGCTTCTAGAATCAACATAACTCATGTCAAGCAGTGCTTATGCAACACCAGATTAACATAACTGGGTTGTTTCTGGTCCTCAGGCTATTTTGTTTTCATCTCCTGCAGGCATCTCTGCACACTGTAGCCCTGTGCTCTGTAAGATTACTCTAAAAGTTAAGTCTTGCAGTGTTCATTCCTGTGCCCGCAAGTCATCTTAAAGGCTAGTCCAAAATAGTATTATTTGGTAGCTGTTTGCGGTTGAATCACAAACAACCGTGGGGCAACATACAATGACATTAGCCTGAAAGACTGCATGCAGTGACACCACTCTTAACATAATTTTGTTTGAAACCAAATGAAAAACAGGAAGTTATTAAAGCCCCCCAACCATCATGTCTTTTGCCAGCCATAATAACATGCATCTGCAGCACTCCTAAATCTTGTTTAAATCAACTCTTCAATCCACTGAAATTTATTTGGGGAAAAAAAAAAAAAAAAAAAAAAAGCCACACAGCATGCAAAAGATGTATGTAAACTATAATGTTCTTGTCTTCCTAATCTGGCAATGGGTATAGTGTGGAGTGAATTGGGAGCAGTGGAGAATTATGTCTGCTGACTCTGAGAGGTGTCAGCTCTTTTCTGTTTGTCTCTGTAATAGTCTTTCATGAAAGCCCAATGATTGTGACTTGCATAGCCAACTTTTTCAACAACAATATTTTTGGGCTGGCAAATCTGATACTGATCATTCGGGTTTGGGTTTGTGAGACAGGCATTCTCACTATTGTGTCTGTGAGATATATATGCTTTTACCACCTTATCAGTCTGGAAAACTGATTTTTGTAGAGCTAATACACACAGCAGCATTAAGGACCTAATCTAAAGGCTACCAGCATCAGTGGATGTCTTTTCACAGATTTCTGTGAGATTTGGGTCAGACCTGTAGATACAGCTCTGAAGTAAGCAAAGAAGTCTATGCTGGTCACCACATATGGCTTATTACATCTAACCAGAATTTATATTATGCAATAGATTTGCAGACCTTGAAGGATTATGTCTGTAAGGAGAAAGGTTTGATCAATAGTGACAAATTATTTTGATCAATAGTGATACACTGTAAATCTCTTTGTAATGGTTTTCACCACTGTGTGAAGGGGACTTCCCTCAAAATAATTTTACTGCATAGGGGAAAGGAAGATTTTTAGTTAGCTGCCAGCTTTGCTTCCTGTTCCCTCTGGGCCCCTGCCCTTCAGTTACATTTGTCAATTTTTAGAATGTGTGCTGCTCCTTCTGCATGCTTTAGATATTTAAAAGGGTAAAAAAAGTCTTGAGTAGAAAAGACTCTGGAGGAAGGTCAAAAAGTTCTGACTTCTCATTCAGCCTTTTTCCACCTCCAGACTGACAACCTCTGGAGTAGTTTGAGGAAATAATTCCAAAATGTGTTTGGTTAAAAGTAGGACCTGTCTGGAGAAAAATGCCTAGTATTTCTTTCATCTGCCATTACAACCTTTTCTCCTGCAAGCCAATGAGACTCACTGGAGCTCCCTTTTCCCCTCATCAGTTCATCACAAGAGCAGAGTTCCTCTAAATTTTCCTGTCATATTTTCTTTCTCGTTCTGTTTCCAAGAAACCAAATTTGCCCATACATAGGCAAATACATTAGGTATTGCAATTTCAGATCTATTTTCCAAGCATTTAAGAGTTTATCTTCAAGTGGTGAAGTGAATGAAATCCACAGGGAAAGCTGGTACCCTGTCCACTGTTTTCTTTTGCATATCCAGTTAACAGTGGAATCTCCTAACAGTGGGTGATATGTAAACCATTTGTACAGGAGACATTAAAAGTTAAGGCAATGGCCATCTTCCCACTTTGTTGGCTTAAGTAGAGGACAAAACAAGCATCCACTTTATCCACATATCTTGGTTTCTGTTTCTGCTGAACTTTGTCTGGTTTGGTCTGTTTAGGCAACTATAATGGATCTACCTTGACTTTAAAAAGTAGAAATACAAATTCCATTCTGGGAAGAAACATTAAGCAGATTATCAAAGCAATTCAATTTTTAAAAGTCGGGTTTGTGTTTAAATAGATAAGATGACTGCTCACTTGTTATTTCTCACAGTTATTTTAATGAGTTTGTTCTGGTTAACTCTTAAACAGTGTCACTAGCAACTTCCCCTGTATTAGCTGTAAGGTTGTTTCAACAAAGTTGGTCAAAAGAGGTTTAGAAAGAATTAGACAAAACAGTTGCTTACAAAATTTTGCCAACACTTTTGCACCTGTCACAAGAGGTTTTTTTCTGGGAAAAGTTACACAGTTTTACTGTTGGATACCTGTAGCAGTGTAAAGTATACAAGGAACATGGGTTCCTACTATAGGCTTATATTACAGTTGGCAAGCCCTATACAACATGACTATAGCAATTTACTGTAGTGGAAGTCTTCTTTGGCCTGTGGAGTACAAAGTAAATTAGTCACAGAGTATGTTCTTAGCTTCCCAGTTTTAAGGTAAGCTTTATTTTAACTATTGTTTTTTCCCCTTGAACAAGACAAATCTCAAAAGGACTTGACAAATTATTTAGCTAGATTATCAGTGAAAAATTAGAAATTTTCCTAGGTGCCCTTTTAAATACTCTGTGGAAAATGCAAAATCAGCTGAAATATGTTTAGCAATTACCTTCAAGCTGACAGTGCCTTCTGATGTACGAATCATTCTCCAGCTTCCTGGAACCCTGCCAAAGTGTGCCATTCACATTTTTCCTGTCTAAAATAAAAGTACAGAGAGCAGTCACCTGAATTCATAGCAAACCTGTGAAATAACAGGAAAGTCTATAAAAATAGCATCAGAATACAAATCAAACAAGCTTGTGGAACACTGTATCATCTGCTCAAACACAGAAATTAACTGATGATTTCACAATATAAGAAATTTGATGAATGGATGGTATTTATTGTGGTCAGACTTCAAGTTTTATCATCTTTTGCTGCTGTCTAATACCTCATTTAATACTGTTAAAACATGGTCAGAATGATTATTATCTTAACCCTGGCTTTAAGACCTAGGAGCCCACAGAACATCTGTGCCTTTATTTTGCTTCCAGGAATTGTATAAATATTACTTAGTTTTACAGTTAGCAATTTAGTGTTATCAAGAAATAGCAGCAAAGGTGCCCACATCTATGTCATACACACTCCAAGGACAGTCCTGTCTCAGCTTGAATGGGAGAAACTAGGCTGGGTTTGAGAACAAGATGGCCATTCTCCTGTTCCCTGGGTGAACTCCAGAGTGGTCATGCTTCACAGCATATTTATAACTATTAAGTTTTTGTGCTTTCTGGTTTTGTTTTTTGTTTTGTTTTTAGGGTTATTTTCAATGTTGGGTTTCACTCTGACTGTGTCAGAAAATTTTCTTTATGAAAGCACTTGTCAATTCTGTTAAGTGCTGGGAATTCATTACAGCCTGGATGCTGTAGACCAAATGATACTGTTCTGCATGAAAGTCTTCCCAGTACAGGGCTACAGAATGAAGTCTCAACATAAGGGAACTTTCATCTATTATTTGAGACATATTGCTATGAAATATAGCTGCATTGTTACAGGCAGGTATAATAACCTAATAATTTACTCAGTAAAGACTAGATACAACAACTAAATCCAAACTCTAAAGAATAAATAATAGAATGTTAACAGGAAACTCTCCCTGAAAAAAAATAGGAAGTTTTACTTTTTAAGAAACTGCTGATTATTTCCTACAGAGGATTTACAAAGTAGAACCCACTGAATCACAACTGTGGATAATAATATGCAGCGTCAGGACGGGCTGAAAAAAACCCCAAACCCCTAAATTTCTTCTGTGATGAACTTGTTTAGGAAAGCTGAAACAAAGTAGTTTAACACAGGAAAAGCCAGGGATCTGAGTCTGATTAGATAAGAGATATTTCAATTTTTTTATTGAAATGATTAAAAGAAACACTGGACATGTTGAGTATTTCTCATTCTGCCTCATAATAGGTTATTTAAATCGCAATTTGTCTTCTATGTTTACTAATTTGTTTTCAATATATACCTATGAATGTATTCATGGAAAGCAGGGGTGGGGGATATATTGATAGCTTAACTGTATTTTTTCCTTTCCTTTGCATTTGCTCCAACAGCTGTAAAGCAAATCAGACCCTTAATTAAAGTTGGCTCTGTAAGATTAGCAAGTATACAGTAAATGATTTAAGCAGTTACTAACCAAATGCTTCATTTTCAGACATGGACTTCTGGATGGATCTAAAAGAATTAAAAGAATTTACCATTAGCTGAAAGTCAGAATGAAAAACGAAAGCACATTTAATCAAATATGGATATTTTCAAACTAATTCTTCAAAACAGGGCACAAGGATTTAGCTGTGCAATTCCCCCTGGCTTTAATTGCTGTTACTTGGCTTTTCTCATTTACCCAATCATCATCTACTCCCACATGCCACACAAAGCTCTGAAAGCTTCTGAGTGTTCATTCTGTAAAAATATGTTATTCACATTTCCTTATGGAATGAAGAATTCGTGCCTGAATCAGGGAGCCCATCAGGAAGAAAATAAGAAATTTTTCTTTAGACAGGATCTGAAGTGCCCTACAACTTTTAGAAATGAGTGTCTGAAGTCTGTTGACATAGAAATGTATTGTACCAAAGAGCTACATATGAACATACCATCCCAACAACACCGAATGACATTTTATTGCCCAAATAAAACTCAAGCTTTTTATACATTTATGTCAAGGAATAGTTATAACTCATGCTTCCATCTGTGATCAGTGGTTTATAAATGATGACTCAAAGAATATACCAGTTTAAAAGCAGAAAAATAAATCTTTGAATTAAGAAAGATTTAGCCTGTGAATTAGTTTGTTTCACTTTATCCATAAGAAGCCCAATGGAGAGTAATTTATGAGCTAGAGAATGAAGTCAGAAGATTATACTAGATGAGACCAGAGACTCTCTAATCTCTGACAATGATCAGCAGAAGGGAAAGAGCACAAAAATTGAGGTTCATCTCCCAACTTCAGGCACATTGGTGCTGAAGGGTTTCCTGAGCAAGAAGGTGCAATTGAACTATTGATTTTTTTAAGAAACTAGTCTGTAAGCACTAGTTCCTTTTGAAACTACTTGGATTTTTTTTTGCTTCCAAAGTGCCACAATTTAATTCTTACTGTCTAAACAAGACAACTGTTTATTTTATTTCTGTTACTCTATTTCATTTGGTTCTTCTCTGTTGTCCCATTGTAAGAAAAAGAGAATGGTAATTCCTCATTCACTTTCTACAGAAAAGGCCAATGTGATAATTTCTGCATTATCAGTGGGGGTATCATGCCAGGACAGTGATGGCTGGACACTCACAATGAAATAATTTTCATTACAAAGTCTTTTATTGCTGAGTGAAATTATTTTCATCAACCTTACTCATTTTTTATATTGATTAGCCAAATGATTTGGACAACCATTCTAAATTCTGATAATTCATTTAGATTAGGATTAGTTTTAGAATAGAATAGTTTTCATTGTAAGATTTGACACTGTGTCTATATACTACTATTTCTATTCCTAGGGCAGACTTAGTTCTGATCTAAGCAGGAGACTCTTAGGCAACTAGGTGATTGCACCATATTTGGTAGAGTTTGGTAGGGTAAATCTTGGGTAAATCCTACACAGTAGTTTGGCTTCCTTAAAAGTGTTAAAGAATGATGAGAAAACTGTGAATAACAGACTTATTTCCATACTTTAACTAATGCAGTTTTGGGAGTATTTTCACAGGGCTCTGGCTGGTCACAGATAACTGAGTTGTCACAGCTCTGAGTGCATGCATCTCTGTATTTGCAGTCGATAAATTACTAGTGTTTTTATCAGATGACCAGAAATAGATTAGAGCTGTTACTTAAGACAAAAAAGCTCTTTATTTTATTTGAAATCTTTATCTATTTTGAAATTTCTCAGCAATAGACATAGATAGTATTGTTGTTCTCAATTTAGTGGAGTCCCACCTAAAAAAAAAAAAAAAAAAAAATCCAGGGATTTTCCTGTCTGTCACATTCAGACAGAAAAGATCTGTCTCTATCATTCCATCAGTAAGGAATAGCCTTCAACCTCAAGCCAAAAAGAATCTTCAAAATAAATTCCTCTGCTTACTAATATATATTAATCATTAGCCCAAACTATAGCATTGTGTCTCAACGAATGGATGCAAAGCATGCTGCTGTCACAAATATACTTGATAAAATACAGTCTGACCGGCTTTATCTGAATCATTTTGTAAACTGATTTTTTACTTGGATTAAAACCACAAAAAACTCTTCAGGAGATTATCAGGTCAATGGTGCAAACATGCTATAAAATAGGTTACCACTTCAATCTTTCAGAGAAACAGACATATGGTTAAACCAAGCTCAGATTAACTGCATTTGATTTTAGCTGTCCTGGTTCTGATGTTTTGGAAGAAAGCTTTATAGATATGAAAAATCATAGCAAAAGAGCTTTAGTAATGCATTACAAGCTTGTTACTTGCTTTCCAACTGCAACATTAATACATGTACTCTATAAGAATTAAAGCAACATTGGCAAACAATAAAACAAGGATGAAAGTTACAGACAAATATAGTGACACTGTGTAGAACTCAGCTGGTCTCAACTTACTTTCTTTTTTTGGTCACTGTGTTCTCAACTTCAGGAAATTCCTTTTAAAAAGATAGAGAAAAACATCTGTGAAAATCAAAAATGTTTAAACCAAATATAATATTTTCCTCACTGGAAAGACACCGAATAATATACTTTTGATTAGTGTTTTTAATATCCACTAACACTACTAGTCTTTCTTTTTTCCAACAGCTGAAATTGTGGAGGACATAGTGCAGCAGAGAATATATGTAGTTCTGTGTCCTAATTCTAGAAGGTTTCAATATCCATGGCTCTCAAATAGCTGGCAACAGTAACACCCCTGAAAAAATACTTTTACCTCAAGAATGAATATCATATTTCTTCCATAGTAAGATTCTTTTAAATTTTATGAGGATAAAATATCCACACATTACAATGAGATAAATCTTTCTGAGGGGCACAGAGGACACAGACTCTGTAACTCCATTACCTGCAGAGGAATGTGGGGGACAGCAGGAAACTCTGCCAAGTAAAATTTAAAGTTTTCCAAATCATCCTGGCAAGTTCTGAGGGGTGCCAAATCAGAATCAAGCACTGGTCTGGAGGCAGGATCATACAGCCTCCAGGACCCAGATGATATGTACCTTGACAAGATGTGGGAAGGAAGAGTTCTGTGGGTGTTAAAAGAGTGAACAAAAGGATGTCTCACTCTGCAAGTGGTGCCAAAACTTCTCACTGCATCTTTGCTGTCACAGTTACCCTGGGACTTGAAGTTAATTTTAACTTTAAGAAAACCTGAAGATGTCATACTAGGACAGAAGAGATCTCTGATCTCTATACTATTTTGATATCTCCTGAGACAGAATATCAAAGCACTGTATCACTTTCATATCTATTTCTTCTATCCTGGAAAGCAGAAACTGGGATAAAAATGTCAATGATGAATGTCACCTCAATCTGCTGTGCAACTAGAGACAATTAAAAAAAAAAAAATCATTATTTTATAAATATGAAAACTTCAGTGTATGGACCTATTTCTCATAATCTAATGTTTAATTTATTTCCTTTGTGTAATGCTCCCTACGTCTGCATGGCTCTGACCATGGTAACTTAAAAATGTCATCTAAGTTGCACGATGAAAAGCCAAAATACCTACTACATAAAACAATGTAAGCGTATAATTGAACATTTTATATTTTTCCTCTCCTCTCGGTAAAACCAATCATAGATTTTTTTTAAGCTTCTTCAGGAGAGTGCATTAAGAAAAGGCTGTTTTACAGCATTGAGGTTATTTTAGCTGAGTGTGGGAGGTCCTGTTAGCACCTGGACATTTGTGAATGCTAAGAATTATATTCAGTTTCCACAAAATTTTTTTTTGCACATGTAGATTTGTTCACAGACACTGTGCAGATCAAAAGAACATACAGAATTTATCATCCACTTTGAAATATTGCAAGCAATGTAAGAAAAATTTCTTGCTGAAAAAGAATCAGCATTTTAATCTTGGGACAAATCTTTCCAATAGCTCTAAACAAATTACTAGATGAGGTGCACAGGCACACAGAGAAGTTGAAAAATGTTGAAAATGTGATTTTATGGCTCTTTCAAAAGGGTAGTGTCAATATCTCATTAAAAATATCAAATGTTTGATTTCAGAGAAACATGTTAAAGGAAGCATTATGCATGGAGGTCAGAAACCAAAGGATGTTGTAAGTTAGAATCTGTATATGATCCAGGGAAAAAATTGAAAAGAAGGCCCTCTCTAAACCTCATTGTGGCCATATACCTGGAAAGACTATTAATTCATATCTTCACATGCTAAACATCTGGTGTGGAACATGAAACATAGAATTATAGGTTTAAATTTTTGTTCCATGATTTGAAACCAATGCTTTATCACCACTTTCTTAAAATCCAGCAAAAGATGGATGTATGGCATTACATCATACACTGAGGTGATACTGATGTGAGTTCACTAGATATCATGGGATGCAGTGCCACAATGAAATATGACAGTGGGTTTAAATGACCATTTTAAAATGGCACCTTTTATTTTACACATCTCTTCCTGTTATGTCTGAATCATCTGGCTAAATTGGGGTACAGGAATAAATTACTCTTGTTTGTACTTTTTGGTTTTAAGTACCTTTTCAGTATTTGACTACACTTAAAATCGTATGTAAATTTAATCTGAAACTATAATTTAAGCAGTTTTTAAAATATGTTTTATCTTAGAACGTAAATTAAGGTTCATCTAAACTCTACTTTCCACATTCTCTGAAGTGCATAGTTACCTTGTTTATGGGAATAATTCTTTCCTTCCCTATCCCAAATATGAATGATCTGTTTCCTAGAAACAACTGCACATGTGGAAATGCAGCATTATGAAATTATTAATAAAGTCCTTTCCTCTGTGCTTTTATCAAATAACTCTGAACTGAAGAATTGGATGAGTCCCTCTGGTGTTTACAAGCTGGCTGAGAAAGCTAGAGGTCCTGTGTCTGTGAAGACTTCCAAACAAGGCAATTATCAATTCAGATAGCTAGCCCTCTTCTTTCCCTCACTGGAATCAAACCCCAATTATAACACTAAAGATTAAAGCAGGTATCATGAATGATTGTGATTTTCCTGGCAATAACTTAGAAAGACTGATAAATTATTTGGCACTTTTCTGATATACAGGGTAGTTGATCATACCATGGTCAGCAGTTGAAAAATATGTGGATCTCATGACATTTCGTGATTACAAACTGACAGGAAATATATGAAAATAGGTTTAATACTGAAGACTCTTTTCTTGAGAAGCTTAAGACATCTCATGAGGTAGAAGACTGTAATAACAAGCTACTAGAGGTAGAAATTCAGTTTCCCAGTTAATGGCATAGTTATGTATATATTCATTATGTACTGTCGGCTACCAAATGTTTCTGAGGAAGGTCCAGTTCAGCTTTGCTATGCATAAGGTTCAAAAACAACTCTATCAATCTATTTTTTTTCTTTCTGTCTGAGAATATTACTGATGCTGAGCAACAGGCAAAGTAACCAAAAAGTTAACAGACCAGTTCCCTGAGGATTAAAAACGAAAGGCAAATGTGTATAACAGGCACAAGACAGTACCACAGGAATCTAGAGTGGGAACATACCAGGCAAAACATTTCTTATACTAAACAGGTCTTCTAAATTATGCAAAGGAGAAGAACAATGTATATGAAATAGAGATTATTCTCCACCCAGGATGTGTCATTTGGGCAGATGTTTGGCCAGGAGCAAAAATAACCGTGGTTCAAAAAGATGCTCAAAGAGTATGTTCACTGAATTATGTCCTGAACAGCTTCTGTGACCATAGTGCCCCATATTCCCACATTTTCAGAATGTTACAGCCGAGCTATGATTAGGACAAATCACAAACAGGCAAGATAACCGCAATAAAATAACTACCTTGTTGAAGCATAAGGAAAAATTTCCTCTACTCCCAGCCTCCCTTTTTTGAGTTGAGGGGAGCAGACTTCGAACACCTGCCCTGTGGATTTCTGAAGTTGTAGAGGAAAAAAGAAAGGGGCAAAGCTTCCTAAGGAGGAAATGTGTCATGCTAGGCTGCTCTACCCTCAGGATATTTAACAGATCTGTGGAATCTGCATGGCCACGGTTCAGCCGACCATCTAAACATACACTTGAGCCCATACCTACTTAGCAGAGCACTTAAGTATGTGCATTACTGAATAATGATAGATGGCTAAATCAGGGCCTGAGGGAGCCAATAATGTTCTGAATTCATCATGCTGTGGGGGCCAACCTGCAGACTGGAACCAAGTGACGGAATTAAAAATGGGAGAGAAGTACAAATGGGCTCAGTTAATAAGCTTAATGGCTTCATCCAAGGTGTAGGTCTAATAACTCACATGCTAGAAATAGCAGATAAGATTACACATAGTCCTTTGGCCTTAGCGACATTTTCCCATAGGTCTTACTGCTGACACGTCATCACTAATCTTGTTTTCCATTTCTAGAGAGTATTTTATAAATAATCATGTTGATTCTACAGCCAGCACAGTGACACAGCATCCAGCCATTATTTTAAGTTAAGTGCTGAGCTGAATATTCTCTCGAAACAGAAAAAATAAACCCCACAACCGATCTTAGGAATCTTCTTGTTAATATTTAGGGAGCCAACAGTTTACTTACCTATTTAGCATTGCTTTTATTGATGATGAGATTTAAATTTAATAATGAAAAAATATGCCATTGCTAAAATATCCCCTTTAGGAAAACAGAAATATATATGAGTTAGCAGAAACCAAAGTTTAGGATTCTTCTATTCACTGATGTTCATGTATCTTCATGGACTATGCAGTGCCATCCCATAAAACCAGCACTAAGCAATGCAAAAAATGTTTTCCTACAATTTGTTCAGATTTATGTACAGGATTTTCTAATCCTATACTAGTAGCAAATCTGCTTCTTTAGGCTGGCTCAATGAAAATACTGTTCTATATTGGATAAGTTGATTACTTCTATTTAACTAAAATATTTATGAAGCTTAACTCTATACTAATATAATGAAGAGTCTGAAGTATTATTGCCAAATCAGAAAACAGAACAAAACAAAAAAAAAGGTGAAAAACAAAAAGCCTGACATAAACGATCACTGCAGTTTTCTTAGCCCTACGTATGGTGAAAACCATTGCAGACCACAGTGCTATGGATGTGTCTTTACCTTACCTTGACAAGATAAAGGATAATTTCTAGTAGTTACCTATTGCAAAGTATGTTAAGATGTCATATCTCACAGGCTGGGTACAAACCAAAAATTAAATCTGCTTTTAGTTTTGATTTTACTTTGTCTAAGTACTGTTCCTAGCAGATAAACATCTACTGGACAAGGAAATATTAGTGTAGTTGTCATTGACTATTAAGTTGGTTTGTAGTCACAGCAAAGGGGAAAAAGATTGAATGGATGAAGGAGCTGAACTATAATGTCCACCTTTGTTAGTAGAATGGCATGTTTCAGTAGGGTCGTATAACACAGCCCTAGCCAAATAGCTAGAGCTTCACACAACTGAAATGCTACAAGCATGCTAGGATCAGGTTACAGCCATATTTCACAACCATGATTAAACACGCTTAGCTGGAACAGTGTAGAGGTGGCTCATTCTTACAGTAACAAGGTCACAGCCTGATAATGGGGAGAAACCTGTCACACAGGGGAGCATCTCCCACCTACTTCAGTAAGATTAGAATGTAGGCACATTTCAGAACCCAGCCCATAGATCTGTGCCGATGCTATGAGGAATCATCTTGAGATCTATGCACTGCTATGCTCTCAAAACAAGGACCATTATATAAAGCTCCAAGGTGATTATCTGGAACAGAGGGACATGCACAGAGTGAGATGACTGCAACAGAAGGGTCTGAGAAAAACAAGTTATTTCCATTCCTTTAGGAATTCAACTACTGCATGCCACAGTTCCCCAGCCATTCTCCTCTCCCACCAGCTCCAGTACTTTCTTCACCCAAGTCCTGTGTGCAAACCTGTTTTGTGACACTGCAACACCATAGGCCCAGCAGTCTATAGGTACATGGTACCTAACCCAGAGTGCACATGGGTAAAGCTTGGCATAATTTCTGAAGGGAGGACATTATTCTCTGAATAATGAACATCCTGTTTTCTTTTTGTTCCTTCACCAAACTGCATCATATGTTGCTATAGATAGAGATAGTAATTATAAATGAAGAGTATTGTAAAGCAGAGAACAGAGATTATGAAATGGAAGAGATTATGAAATTTAATATAATATGTTAAAGTATTTGTCAAAGCCTCAATGATATATTATACCAATAACATAACAATGATAAAGGATTAAGTGGGTAACATTATTTAGGAATAAAAAAACAAAGACAACCTCCTTCACCTGTTTGCCTAATGAGGTCTTGTAAAATGTAAAGTTTATTCCTGTGGCCACCAGTCACAAGATTCATACAACTCACACTTTAGAAACGCTTCTTTTTTATTAATAAAAAGGACAACTGAAGACACCAATAGTGTATCCTGTAGAGACAAACTCTACAAATATCTGTACCCAGCATTTTCATGTGCTATTACATGCAAAGAGACATTCCCTTGTACAGTGAAGCTGCACTAATCTTACTCCGCTGCTAGCTGGATAGAAATTCATGACCTGTTTTTCAAGTCTGCTTTTTAAGACTGGACAGAAATCAGGTCATTTGATACAGAGAGGAGATTTGAGCGGTGGCTCTAAAGAGCCTAAATAGTTCAAACAGGCAGTTAAGCCAGCTGAACACACATGTATCCACATACAGAGTAATAGTTTTTTGAAAAATATATTGCATACTTTACAATTAAATTTTACTTACCAAAGACACAGACCTATCAGGTGGTCCACAATTTACATGCATGCTCACTGGAGTGTTAGCCCAGCTGTCAACAGTATTTGTATCCTTGGTTTCTTGATGTTTTGGGACAGGCTCATACAAGCTGTCCGTTGAGCCCTCCTAAAATATATTTAGACAGAATTTCAAAGATAAACACAGGTAAGCACATTATAATAATAGCAGTTAAAAAAACAACCAGTGATTTACAAAATAGAGAGTGATTTTCTTCCCCTGTCCTTTGAAATCCTTTATTCACTTATTTGTTTAAAAAGACATATAGAAATTGATTGTAGTCAGTAGCCAAATGCTGGAGTTCACAGTATCATGTCTTAGAGTTCACAGACTGGCAGAGGTAAATCTGAGGGTACATCAAAAATTAACATTATCTGCTTAGAAAGTGTAAAATTAAGTGTATATCTCCACCTGAACAGTACATGAAAATTCTTGTGAAAATGATGAAAATGGTAAACCATGAAAATTTCTCTATAAACTGTAAAATTGTTTTATAGTTAGTACTTATTCTTTATGGGAAAAAAAAAATAAAATAATCATCTGATGTAGTAATGTAACCCTATTCCTTAAAAATAAAAGGAAAAAATGCTGCCGGCTCCCAGATTTTGAGAGTCATGATTTAGACCCCCAAAACAATGAGAATGTCTAGAATTAAAAATAAATTCCATTTGCATTCAAATTTTTGAACTCTATTTCTTAATGCACATGGAAATGTTCTTTTTCTCCAACCAAGAATAAAAATATTTTAACAGAAACTATGATTTTCACATTTATCCCATGACTCCAAGAGCCAGGATTACATATATACACCACCATTCCATAATTCAAGAGTTAAACGAAAGCAGATGGCAAAACTAAAGACACTCTAACTAATGATCCTAGAGTTTAGATGTTGCCACTTCTGTCTCCACTGAATATTTTCCCAGTGAATTTTGATTACTGATTTTAACTGCATTAAGGAATAAATCAAATTTATAGCAGTGTGACTTACAGCAGACCAAGACCATTGAAATTAACATGTTATATTATCATTTAAAAACATTTGTTCCTCTAGTACAGAAGATAAACACAGACGTATATTTGAAGTTATATTGTTAATATGTAAATCTTTACAGGCAATATTAATTGACTCATGAAACAACAGTGCAAAGACACAACTAATTTTTGCAACCACAATGTTTATCTATGGATCTTTATTTGCTTCAGTCCACTACAGTCTTTATAAGCCAAGATAAATGTTGTGGGAGAAATATTGCAAGTTGAACCTCTTGAAAATACTAAAGTTATATACTGGAGTTTATTCTAGGTATTAATGAGATAATGCTTCCTGAGAAAGTGGCACTTGGCTTATGAAGCACACTACACATGTGCTCCTACACATGTGAACTACACTGGTGCTCCTAACAGCCAGCTGAGCCTAGGTTTTGACAGCAACTGCATTTATTCATAAGAATAGTATTTTTTCTTACTGTAACTATGTTACCATGTAGAAATGATGATTCAGGCTCCCGGTCTGAAGTTGTGGACCGAGCATTTCTAGACAAAAATGATGAGTTTAAAACTTTGTTACACACTTCCAGGCTTTTGCAATGTAAAATACAATCATATACTTCTTCCTCAATATGGAATAACACAAGACTTTGGTGAAGAGAGTATTTAAGAGATGGAAGCATAAAAGAGAGCTTGTGTGAAAGAGAGAGCATGAGAAAGAGTGAGAAAAAGTGAAAGGAGAGAGGAAGAGGATGAGAAAAAGAGGGAAAGAAAAATATGTAAAGAAGAGAAGGGAGGAAAAGAGAAAGAATAAGAGAGGGGGAAAATGGGAAGACAGAAGAAGAGGGGAGAGACAATGAGCAAGAAAGGGAGAAAGAGCATGAGGGGGAGCGTGTGAGAATGAGTGCTTAAGAAAGGGAAAGAGAGAGAGCATGAGAAAGAGCTCAAACAAGAGGGAGAAAGCTCATGTGAGAAAGATGGAGCGTAAGGGTGTGAAAAAGGGCAGGTGTGTAAGTGAGAAAAAAATCAAAGGCATGAGAAAGAGTGAGTGCATGCATGCAAAAGTGTATTAGAAAGACCACGCAGGAAACAGGGAAATAGTGTGTAAGACAGAGAATGTGTGGAAAAGCGTGAGAAAGAGATGGTGTGAGGAAGAAAGTGAGCATAAGGGCATGGGAAAGAGTGATCACACAGTTGCAGGAAAGGCCAGAATGTCACAAGAAAGACTGCAAAATTGTGAGAAAGAAAGTGAAGGTACAACAGAGACCAAGAATGAGAAAGAGAGTGAGGGCATGAGAAAAGGAGTTGGCAGGAGAAAGAGTGTACCAATACCCAAAAAGAGCAAGCGTACAAGGGAAAGTCAGAATGAATGAGAAAAGAGTGTGAGCATGACAGAAATGGAGGGAAAGAGAGAGAGGGTGAGAGAAGGAGCAAGAAAGCAAGAAAGAGCAAAAGCTTAACAAAGCAAGAAAGATTGAAAAAGAGGGAAGGCAAGATCAAGAGGGAGAAAGAACATGTGAGAAAGACCACTAAAGGACAGGGGAGAGAAAGAATGCATGAGAAAGATAAAATGAGAAAGAAAGACCAGATGAGAAACAGTGAGTGTGAGAGCATGGAAAGGGGTGGTCACAAGAAAGGAAGGCATAAAGGTGAGATAAAGCACATAAGCATGTGAGAGCGTGGTTGCATGAGAAACAGCAAGCAAGAGGGAGGGCACAAAAAAAACAAGGCTGCAAGAAAGAGGGAGAACTCCAGAAAGGGAATGCACAAGAAATAAAGGATACAGCACAAGAAGGAGAGAGGGCACAGGACGTGGGGGAGAGAGATGGTGTGAGAAAGCAAGCATGAGGGTGTGAAAAGGATCAAGCACAAGATTGTGAAAAAGGGTGTGAGTGCACAAAAAAAGTGGAAGTGTGAGAAAAATCAAGGGCATGAGAAAAGGAGAGGACAAGAGAAAATATGCCCGAATGCAAAAAAGAGTGAGCTTGTGAGAAAGAAAGTGCAGGTGAGAGAGAGAATGAGAAAGCCAATACAAGTGACAGAGAAAGCAAGCACACATGGGAGGAAATACTCAAAGAAAAGAACACTCATGTGAGAAAGCAGGTGTGAGGGCACAGGAAAGAGTGTGTTCAAGAAAAGGCAGGGCTGAAGGCAAGAGAGCATGAGAGCACAAGAAGGCAAGAATGCAGGGAATAGCAAGAGCACAAGAAAGGCAAGAACATGAGAAAGGGCAAATGCTTGAGAAAAGAAGTGTGCAGAAAAATCACAAGCATGTGTGAGCAAGGGTGCAAAAAAGTGCACGAGAGAAATACAAGAAATAATTCAAGAATGAGGGAGGAAGAGAAAGTGAGGGAGTGTGCTGGGAAAAGATGGCATGCAAAATAAAAAGCAAGCATGAGGAAGAGAATATGAGGGCATGAGAAAAACGGAGTGCAAGTGTACAAGAAAGGATATGAGGTCACAAGAAAGTGCACGATGGTACTAGAAAGAAAACACTGGCATAAGAAAGGATATGATGACCTGAGAAATGGAGCAGGCACTGCAAAGTAAGTGTGGGTGGGAAAGAAAGTACCTATAAGAGAAAAAACAGGGGAAACAGAGTGGAAGAGCAAGAGGGGGAGAGGAAGAGTGAGGGAGAGGGCAAGAGTGGGAGATCATGAGACAGTTTAGAAAGGGTGAGAGAGATCACATTAATAGTGCGGAGACCCTGTGTGAGAAAGAGATGGCATGTGAAAGAGACATTGTGCAAGAAAGCATGTGTAAGAAAGTGAGCATGCAGGCTCTCTCCACAGTGAGAGTGAGGTTGTGAGAAAGGGCATGAGGTCATGAGAGAGGCATGAGGAGAGATGGTACAAGAGAGGGTGCAAAGCCTCAAGACAGAGAGGGTTGAGAAAGGGAGCAAGCAAAAGAAATATCAGGACAGATTGTGAGAAAGAGTATGCATGTGAGAAATGACAAGTGTGTGCAAGGTAGAAAGGGAATACTTTTGTGTGAAAGACAGCTCCCAAGAAAGAGGGAGAAAGAGTGCAAGGAAGTGCGCATGAGGGCATGAGAATTAGTAATCGTGAATTCTCAAAAAAGGCAGCAATGGCATAAGAAAGGGCATGAGGGTGCAACAAAGAGAGTGAGGTCATAAGAGGAGCAAGTGGGTGAAAGAGCAGGACTATATGCAAGAAAGAGCAAGCACAATAAGAGGTAGGTGTGAGGGCACATGAAAGAGAGCTAACAGTTGAGAAAGAGCAAGTGTGCAAGAAAGAGTTTGAGTGTGTGAGAGAGATGGCAAGAAAGAGTGTCTGAAAGAGAAAGAAGAATGAAGTGGCAGATGAAGAAAGAGGGAGAGGCAGGGTGGGGGGAAGGGGAGATAAGGCTCAATAAGAGATTGAGATAGGAACCACACCAGAAACTGACAGAGAGTATGGAAGGAGGGAAAGCATGCATGAGAAAATGAGTGCAAGAGCATAAGAAAGAACAAGGACAAAGTAGAGAGAAAGAGGGTGAGGTCACAAGGAAGGAGGTCATGAGAATGGGAGTTGTCAGAAAGGCAGTAAGGACACAAGAAAGATAACAGGTTGAGAGAAAGGGAACAAGCACAAGAAAGCTTTATTAACCAAGAGAAGGAACAAGTGCATGTGAGAGAAAGAGAGCTAGATAGAAGGGGAGACACAGAGAGAGATAAAGGCCCTCCAAGAAAGAAAACTCTCAAGAAGGAGGGAGATAAAACTTGCATAAGAAAGAACGAGCATGAGAAAAGGTGGGTGTGAGGGCACAAAGAGCCAGCACACAAGAAACAAGGGAGAGCAAGCATGCAATAGAGAATAAGGTTGTTAGAAAGGGAAAGGTCTCAAAAAAAATAAGGACACAAGAAAGAGAGTTAAAGAATAAGCACATTAAAGAGTGATAGGGAGACAAAGGGGGAGACAAAAAGGGAGAAGAGAGGGAAAGAAAGAAAAGGATTATGTGAGAATGAGAGAGAGGGGAAAACGGAAGAGAAAGAAGTCATAAGAGAGGGGAAAGAGTGAGGCAGACAATGAAGGAGCATGAATGAGAGTGGTAGGGACTGTGAGGGAGACAGTACACTAAGACAGGATGCTTGGGAAAGAAAGGTGGTGTGAGAAAGA